GATTCAATAACCCATTCATAATTCCAATCCAATTCCCTACTATATAGTAGGAAAAATGTATAAGCAAAGAGCAGTAAGTCTGAATTCACTGTATTTATAATATAATAGGCAAAAATACTTGGATGTTCTACTAATTCCAGAAAGATTCTAAAGTACACATTCAGTGGAGACTTTACCATGCGATGAGGCCATGGGAGATGATCTGTGAATTGCAGTGAATGCAACATAACTGACACTGGCAGGTCATATGACAATGACAACATGACAAATATAGTATGACCAGATTGCATTCATTCTAAATGGTTGCAAAGTAAGTGCTAATTCAAAAGAAGTACCTAGTATGCAACTTTAGACACAGCCAGTCACTTGTATTGTTTCTAAATGAATCTGTCGATTTGAACAAAACGCTTGAATGAAAAATTCAATGACTCACTTATTAAGACAGTGACCTGCTGCCACCCACTGGCAGTTTTAGTTTTATATTTATCATTATCAGTATATAATTTATTTGTCAATATCACACACCTGCCTGATTATAAATCAAAAACATACGCAAACATCTCTTTTAAGAGGTTTTTGCACTGAAATTCCGTGTGCGACAAATTTACTGAATTTATCCCAAAGAGTCTGGCAACACAAAGCAACTTTAAGTGATTAGTAACCATTCAAATCGGATACAAAATTCAAATATTTGGGATTATGATTAGAATCGGGAATTCTGGATCAGCAATTCCACGCTCCACCAGCTAATAAGGATTTCAACCATGGATGAACATATTATAAACACATACACACACAAACAGTCTCAGTGCACAAGAAACAAATTAGCCATGGATGGATAGACTCAAATTGCATTTTAATGGCTCTAGGTACATTTTTGCTGTCATGTGTGATACTGTGAAACCATGTCAGCCCTGCTAACTTCAGGAACTTGTCAGCACTGGGAATGAGGTGCTAACAAGAGGAAATATGAGACACACACACTTGCATACTCAAAAGTGTCTGGCATTAAGCGCAAAGCCAAAGTACTGCCCTCAAAAAGTGTTCAAGACAGCGCCCCTCAGTGGCTAAACCGCTTTCATGCACACAATATATACACACAGACACAAAAGTCAGTAACTTAAATAATAAAGAAAGGCATATAAGAAACATATGACTGTTCACAGGATCTTTTTGTTTGCATTCTGTTTCATTTGCTGTGATCAAACCGAGAGTTTCGAGAGTCCCCTGCAATCACAGCTCAAAGACGTATTATCATCCTGCCTTTGCTGTAATTACTATTTTTCTGAACACCAGCTTAGAGGAGCATTTGTGCACTCTTGTGAAAGAGAGAGCAGAGGAGGAGAGCATTTGAGATGTGTGGAACAGATGTGTAGGAACAATACGATCTGATGAATTAAATGGTGAAATTCACAGGTGAAAGAGAAAACTTAACCCTAACTGACCTAATGATTAACATACACACACCATTTACTTGCCATGCTCTGTAAATAAATGCAGCACATGTACATGCCAAAAACAAAGCCTATTTCAAACCTAATCCCACTGACCTAATAAAACTGTGGAGTACTGACAAGCACATTGCTGATAATAAATGCATATCACTGCTCAAATGCAATTTCAGTATAGCTGAATTTCACCTGTATTATATTTGACTGTAAAATGAATAAGTGTCAGTGCATTTAAATGAGTTCTTATAGTAAAAAATACAAGGAAAGTAATAATAAAAAAAACAATGCATTAAGAAGCATACAACAGATGTACATATATTGTACATTTTGTGGCTGTTTAAAATGTGTGAATATATATATATATATATATAATTTTGTGCATGATTAAATATTACATTCAAAATATTACTTAAATAAGAAATTGTATATTTCATTGTACCTTTAGGGGTCCAAGCATGTCACTGGGCAGTACCCTTAAAGGTACATCTTTGTGTGTACAAAACAAGCCTTTTCAAAATGCTTTTATTCCTATTTATATACACAGACAGGACATCCAGACATCACATTGTGTTTAAATGGTCACTGTTGAAGGTATCTCCTAAAGCCACATGTAAATGTGCATCTCTGCTCTTTCCTGCTATTGTTGTTCATCCTCATGCACTCAAGATTTCCAATTTATCTCATTCAGCAACTCTCCTCTTGTTTTATTCATGTGTTCTGTTGACAAACTGGCTTAAATCAAGAAACCTATGCAAACATCTGCCAAAATCTTTCATGCTTTTACAATAAAATATTTGATTTGTAACTTGTAACTACTATTATAATGTTGAATTGGATGATAACACTTCACATTTTAGAAACTAGTGTGTCCATTTACACTTATTTCACATTGTTGTAATCTTAATTTTGAACCTTTTTAGCAAAAATATATCAGCTTGTCACTGGAACAATACCCTCAAAGGTAGGTAAATGATAAAATACGACTATGCACCCTTTAGGGGTAGATAAGGTACAGAGGTCTACTGTAATAACATGTAATAACAATAAACTTACAGTAGGCTAATTGCATTTCTATATTAGTTTTAATTAGTGTAAGTGGACCGTAAGAGAAGCACTAATATGAATTGTGTCTCATACCGTCGGGTGAGCGATGAGTGGAGATGTCAGCTGTCAGCCCCACTATCACCAGCACAAAAGCGCGCAGTCCGCTCATGAGGCGCCAGTTCTCCATGCGCCGGTAGATCCTCATGATGCCCGGCTCCTTATGATGAGATCTTCATAATATACCGACACAGAAACACAAACACAAACACACACACACACACACACACACACACACACACACACACAAAGCGCAAGCAGAGAGGATGTGAGGGACTTCCTGCAATACGATTAAATCCACAGGGGAGAAAGGGGAGGGTGGTCTACAGACCCGCGATAGAGCTGTCAGGAAAACTTTACAAAGCCAGTACTGCTTAAATCTTATGGTCTACTGTGTTCACGCTGTCCTGTCCCGTGTCACAGAAGCAGAGTGTAAACAAAAGCAAAGAGCACACAGACACCTACGAACAGATGCGGTTCGGTCTGCTTTGGTGAATTGTTGATATTTTTGGAAGAGTGCTGCTTGAATCTCCACGTGTTTTATAGCGGGGCTCTGCAGGGTCCTAAAGCTATTCATTCGGGGTCCTAAAACAAACAGTAGCCTATATTTTTAAATAACATTTTACCTTTCAGCATGCATTCTTAATCAATGTCATGATAGTGTTAGTTTATTGTATTGCTTTAGGTCAATGATTTATGTCTTTAAAACAAGTTTCATAATATCAATAAAAATAGCTCATTTTATGGTCCCAATTTATATTTCTTTAACTGTTATGTAATTATGCAATCAATGGTTACACCTTATGCTTTATTTTAAGGTGTTCTTGTTATAGTGTAATTATATTAATTAACTAGCCTACATGTATTTACTATACGATTAGGGTTAGGATTAGGGTTTGGTTTAGGGTTGCTTGCATGTAATTATGAATAATTTGTTCTTATTATAATAGCAAGTACATGTAACGTGTAACAAGGACACCTTAAAATAAAGTGTTACCCAATAAATCAATAAATAAATGCAGACGTAACTACAGAAATTAATTACAGATGTATTTACAGGAAGGTATTTTTAAATGTAAGTACAATGTAAAAATGTAAACAATAAATGTGTAATTAATTTTAAGTACACAGTAATTAAAAACATTTAATATAAAGTGGATCCATTGTTATTATATAGCTACAATTAGATGTCTATAAAGAAAACAGGTAAATAAGTAAATAGGGTCACACACACACAGAGAGAGAGAGAGAGAGAGAGAGAGAGAGAGAGAGAGAGAGGCACACAAATAAATATATTTCACAGTCTTTTAACATTTATTCCAGGTAAATTTATTTATGGTATTATTTTATTGTTTCTGGTCAATGATTTATGTGTAGCCTTTCAAATAAATAAATATATTTACTTACATCACTGTCAAATTTCACTGTTAGTGTTATTCTCATTCACTCAATCCTGTGAATGGATTCTTCTTGATATGACATAAATGAGTTCAGTGCAATTTGAAAGGTACTGTGGTTATAATCTAGGATAAAAGTTGTGGATTTTAAATTAAATAGCATATTACATTCAAAACATTATACTGTGTGATTAATCTCGAGTAAATTTTCGCCTACATAACACCGAATTCCGAAACTTTATGTGGCTCTGCATATTTTGTGAGTTTATTTGCAAGGAAATTATTCATTTTCTTAATGGGGTCATTTCCACTTTCCTTTCAGGTATGCAAGGCACTCCATAATAACTCTCTCAAGGTTTCCAGCAGGTAGCATACTGACCTCAGAGACTCAAGGACTTGTTAACATTTTTGCATTTTCAAATCAGCATGTTTGCTTGCTCTTCCTTTCAAAGCACCACAACCACAAAGCTCATAATTCTGTTTGCTGAATAAAGACGAGTTTTCCATCCTGAAGTTCCTTGTCTCTGCTTTATCATCATGTCATCCAATCTGTCATCTAACACCTGATCACTGACTTTCCAGACTAATCTCCTGTTACGCTGTTCTCTCCTGAATTCTATTACCCCAAATGTCACGTTCCGCACCAGAAACCCTGACACTTCCAGAGCAAAGGAGACAGTGGAATATATGGCCCTTTCTTTTTATCATACATCCCACGGCATTTTAACATTACCAAGCTGCGTCACTTACTGAAATTGGCTATTACAGAAAAATAACATAATGTCCAAATTTTAATGTGGGGAAAATTGCATAATGAATCTGAATAAAAGCAGGTTCAAAGATGCCAATATTGCATTTTCTTTTCTTTTTTTTTCCAAATAATACTTGAGACTATTGTTGCTGACCTTTAGAACCAAAATGACTATTATTTCAAGAGTAGAACAAGCTGTACATAATAAACCTTTGTAATATATAATTAGGCATAAGGTATACAGTGATTGTGCACAAATACATTAGGGCATCTGCCTAATCAACATGAAATTGTGTCAAATATAATTAAAAAGTAAATTTTAGTTAGCTCAATATGTCTTCTGTAGGGTAATTAACATGAAATTGTGTCAAATATAATTTAAAAGTACATTTTAGTTAGCTCAATATGTCTTCTGTAGGGTTTATTTGACATAACATTTTCAACTGCAAACAGACTCCAACCAGGTCTAGAGTCTTATAGAGTCTTAAGTGGTCTAGAGTCTTAAAATGATCAAACATGTTCTCCTTAAAAATACCTATCACACTGCACAGACACAACAGGGCATGGATGTGCATCCATATGTCATGTGGATTCACCCCAGGTCCGGTAAAAGGTGTTTTATATTTGGAACAACGCATCAGAAAGCCAAGCTCTGCTCTCAGGTGGAAGCTGCAAAGATCTTGCTCGTCTTCAGTTCTTTGCCTCAGGCAAGGAGAACGCGGGGGATATGAATCTTGTGAACAGGCACTTCCCTCAGTCACCGTGTCTTTGAAGAACCTGATCCAAAAGTTTCTGTGGAAAAAAGAAGAGGAAACTTTTAACTAAACTACAACCAGGCAAGCAGCCTGTTTGTCAAAGCATCTGCACGCTCAGGTCAAGTGGTGAAGAAATGAGGGGGAAGTGACTGTGTAATCTACAGATTACCCAGAATTCTCCCTGGCTGTCCCCCTGGGTGGCCATTTCCCCCGGGAGCAATGATAACCTGCTATCTGTGCTCCAACCACATCATGCTATCATGGCTTTTCCCTCCTCGGAGGTATTCATTTTATTTTCTGTCTGCTTCCCTTGTCCTTGGCTATCTTTGATGCTGCGCTCCGTCAGCTGCTATAGAATAACCTGCACATTCCAGTGTAGATTAGAAAAAGTTGAATATGTTTTGTTCGAGAAACAAATTTTTGTCATGAACTGCTGATTTTTACTAACTCTTAATGGAATAGTTCAACCAAAATAAAAATCTTTCATATTTACATAACTTTGATTTAACTTTTATAAAAAGTCAGTCATTCAAATTCATATGACAGTGTGACCTCAGTGGAACACAAAATAAGATGTTTAGAGGAATGTTCATGCTGCTCTTTTCCACAGAGTAAAAGTAAAACAGTTTAAACAACTGACTAATATCTGGTAAAAAAAAAACGTGAAGCAAATATAATATTTAGGCATCAGATCACTCACAAATAGTCACATCACTGGTTTAATAGTTCACTTTTGATTTACTGTAATTAAGAACATTATGTTTGAAACTATCAAGCATTTTAAAACTACTCTACTCCTTGAAGTTTTAGTGGCAACAAGAGTTAAACTCTAAAACAAAGATGCTGAAACTAATTGAGCAAGAAACTCAGTAAGCACATCACATTAAATGCGCAGTTACTGTATAATTGAACTACAGCGGGTATTTGTGTAGTCAAGCTACAGTCTTTGTCCAAGGCTGCATAACTCTTTTCTGGTTGTATATAATTTTAAAATGTAATTTATTCCTGTGATAGCAAAGCTGAATTTTTAGCAGCCATTACTCCAGTTTTTAAGTGTCACATGATCCTTCAGAAATCAGCCTAATGATTTGTTGATTGAGATACATTTCTTTTTATCATCAATGTTGAAAACAGTTGTGTTGCTTAATATTTCTATTGAAAACCATTATCTATTTTTTCTTCACGATTATTTGATGAACAGAGGGTTAAAAAAAACTGCATTTTTTGTAACAGTGTACTGTAAATGTCTTTACTTAATTGAGATGCTGAATAAAAGTATTAAACAATTAAATATTTGAAGAAGGATTAAATATACATCAAGTACATATACAGTAAATATATTATTATACATTGTAGTTGGATTATGTTTACACATGCTGGAAGAAGCAAAACAAAAACAAAAAAACCCAGCAAAAAAACACACTGGTATGATTTCAGTCAGACTAGCACGTAAATTACATTTTAAAAATTAATGCTTTTTCCAAATTGAAATGAATCCTTTAAGGTACATGTAAATTTGCTTATTGTGATAATTATTCTCATTATCAATCACTGGAATTTTCAATGTCCTTAATTGTCATAAGTACATCACAGGACAAAGTTATGCACACTATAAGCTACAAAACAACATCTATTTGAACTCTTTTGGCATCTCTCTCTCTCTCACTGTATCTCTCCCTTCACCTGCTTCTCTCTATCTTTCTTCAGCCTGACTTATCAAGAATTCATCACTGTCACAGAGGAGGTGCAAGCCTGAGAGACAGAAGGGCTTCATGGGAGACAGTGAGCCAGACACTTCATGACAAAGTGTCAGCCTCACAGGACCTGACACCCATTAAAACAACACACCCCGACAAGAGATTTCTGCTTTACAAAAGCACTCGTTTTAGGCATCCAGGGATCAGCCTGTCAGCAAAGACATCCAAAATACCAGTGAAAGCTGTCCTGTTGTGGAATTCAACACTCTAAGCATCAAAAACAGGGAAATTATTATTGTGTCACAAGCATCCCCTAAGTATCAGGGCCGTGTCTGTCACCGAAAAGAACAAAAGGAATTCATGAAATCAGCCTTGAGTGGAATTAATCTGGATATCAAAAAGTAGTTTGATAGGCAGGATTCATTTGAAGAACTATACTGTCCTCTGCTGGAAGACAGGGTAAGTATAATTAATATGAATATCTGAAAAAAGAAACTTGTCTTTATTTCTTCACGTTTTTACAAACCTGTACAACTTTGTGGAACACGAAGATGGAGATATTCTGCAGAATGTACTAGTAAATCTGTTAAAGTGAATGGTGACTAGAGCTTTCAAGCTTCAGAAAGGATGAAAGAGTACCATAAAATGATCATAAAAGTGGTTCATATGACTTGTGTACAATATTCAAGTCTTCTGAAGTCATACAGGAAGTTTTTGGGTCATAAAATTAAGTCATATTCACTTGTAATATCTTCTAATTCTTGAGCTGTTACATCAAGAATTGCTGTGGCTGGATCATTGAGTCTGTGAACTGAATTAAAAAACCAGTCCAGTTAGTTAATAATTAAAGTGCCCCTATTATGGGTAATGAAAGTTCATAAAAAAACACTTTCATTGTCTTCTAATATGCATTTATTTTTACCTTACTTGCTCAACGTCTCCCAAACGATTCGCTCAGCTATTCATTTTTCCAAACCCCTCCTTTGAGTGACGCTATTCTGCGGTGATTGGTCCGATTGGTCTCATTTTCATTATGCCTGATAAAGCAGCGTTTATGAGGGCATGAAAGGTCATTTTCAAAAATCCATAATAGGGGCACTTTAAGACTGGTTTTGTGAACTGGATCAATCAAATCATTGAAAAGATCTGACTCAAAAAAACTATTAATTCCCAAATCTGACATTATTCTTGACATCTGTCAAGAAGAGCTACGGCAAAGATTATCAGTGAATAACAACTTAAATTATCATACGACATAAGAAGACTTGAAATATAATGCACAATTAATGCAAACTACTTTTATACTTTAATAGTGTTTTTCCTTTCAAAAAAAAAAAAAAAGAAGCTTCAGTCACAATTTATTGTAATTTCATGGGGAAAAAACAACCAGCACAGTCTTCAGATTGCTTCCTTTTGTGTTCCACATAAGAAAGAAAGCTTACATGGAACTACATGAGGGTGAATAAATAATGACAAGAGTTTTCATTTTTAGGTAAAATATCTCTTTAAGTGGGTTTTCACAATGACCCAACAAGATAAATGTAACGGTCATGTTGTATGCCTATATTATCATTTCCAAGCTGTTGTGAAGCACTGTTCTCTCTCTGCACGAATGCCCCTCATGAGCCTCTATATATCACTTGACACCTCAGTATGGAGGTAAAAGTTCAGCAAGGTGAGATCAGACAGTCTGGCACCACACAGCACCTGCTGTTTCTAACCGGAGGGAAGGTTTTCACAGAGCAGCACAAGTTTCATCTCCGCTGTTACACTTGGGCCGACAGTTGTGACAGAACGCATTAGGAGACAAAAGCCTCAGGTGTGTTTGTCCTTGTGGGGGTCATTAAAGGTCAGTCTGGAGGATCACTTTAGAGTGTTCACTGTTACAGCATCAGCACAAAGCAACAGAACCGTTCGGTCATGACGTCAATTTGTAAGCCAGTCCGGGAGGCTAATTCGCTGTGCTTGTTCCTTCATTAATTTCCAATGGGATTTTAGAAAAAGTGGTTTTCAAGGTTGCTGCTATCTGAAGACACTTGTCTTGTTTTGTTCAAAAATCACATGTAGTCATACCTCACATTTTGAAATCTTGCTCTTTAAAAAGGCAAGTCACTAGCAAATTGCTACATAAGCACTATATACTGTAACTCACGTCCTAGATTAGTGGTTCTAAACCAGGGGTCCAGTGCCCACTAGGAGGCCTCAGCAAACTTCCAAGGGGGCCCACAGGAGGACTGAAGTCATTAAATTAATAAATGATTTTTATATTAAAATAACTCTAAATTAAAATGCAAAAACCACATAAAATAAAAATGTAGAGTGACAATTTATTTTCCCTTTAAACAACAGAGGGCCTTTGAGTAAAAAAGATTGAGAATCACTGTCCTAGATAATAGATGGAAAGTTGAGCTTTTAAAGCACACAAAAGTTTCAACAAAGTTAAGATCTTATTTTATTTATAGCCAGTCCTCTCTCTCTCCCATTCGCTTCTGGTGAACTCTCCAACTTTTCAGTCTTCATACAAGCCAAAAAACAATCTTTTTTAAAATAAAAGTTTAATTTACTCATAATTCAAGGAACATTACTTTCTTGAATACACTCATTAGACATCCCAGAGGGAACCCACTGCTGGAAAAAGCTAATTCTCTTTCAGATTTTAGGACTAAAAACGGAACATCTCTCAGAGTCTTGGTTACAACTCTGAATCTAATTTAATTTCAGCTATTAAACCAGGCACGCTTTAATTTAATTCTCATTTTAATTACATTCTACTAAGGTAACTACATATCTGGGTCCTGAAAAAAAACACTATCATATTTTACTGTTCAGCTCTATATTCAGCTAAGAAGCATGTCTGTGTAAAGTTTAATTTTGCTTTATACTGGCTGCTTTTCACGGTTCATTTGAGTTTTTTCACAGTCTTACTCTCAATGGCTTTCACAATCATTCTCCAATCAACAGCTGTGCTCTTTAGCGAGTTTAATTAAGCTTACAGTACAAAAGGGTTTACAGCTGTAGCCTCTGCTCCCATGCTCCCTCTAACACGAACTGGCCAAATTTGGATTATATCAAACTGCCTTACAATTTCAAATATCAGTTATTTGATGAAAACACAATATGTGACCTGGTGCATTCTCTGCACACATCGGTATACCTCTAATTCACTTTTATGAAACAAAATGCAAAACATTATAGTGCCTCGGGAAAATAACTACCTGTTACATGGCAGTAATGGATTTGTTTTAGTAAAATGGAATAGGTGTTTCAGTGTAACAAATAAATGTGGTGCCACAGGGACAAATAATCAGATCTTAGGATATTTTATAAAAAATTAATTAATTAATTAAATCTGTAACACTTTACAAGAAGGTCTTATTGGTAAACATTAGTTAAGGCATTAGCAAACAATGCGAAATACATTTTCAGTAATATTATATTTATTACTCTTTGATAATGTTAGTTAATGAAAATATAATTATTTATTGCTTGTTCATGTTCACAGTGCATTAATGTAAACATTTTGACATTTTTAACCTTTTGAATGTAGTAAAAAAAAAAAAAACGATAGAATAATACATTCTGTAAAAGTATTGTTTATTGTTAGTTCATGATGTAGTTTCCGAACTAATGTTAACAAATGAAAGAACCGTAAAGTGTTAGCAAAAAAAATCTTGTTTCTCTTCTGCTCTAGCTTGTGAACTAATCTAGCATATATTAAACTAGGCATTGTATATTATGAATATTCTTAGCTCTTATGACAGATAAGCCTTAATATTCAAAGCAGTTTTGTGTGAGATTTAAAGATTAACCTTTTTGAACACCTCAGCCCTCAGTCTGTTGGTTTCCAACACCAGCCTCTTCCTCTCCTCCTCCTTCTTTTTGGTCACCTCAGGGAGTTTGTTGTAAATCCTGCAAGCACAGACTGAGGATGATGAATGTATAATGACATGAAAAAAGTGACTTGGAGGTGGGAGAAGGAAGTGATTCATCTACTTTTCATCCAAGCCGGCAAACAGAAACACACAAGGAAATATCTTGATATATGTCAATATATACTTTTATCCAGTATATTTCATCTGATCTGGTGGCTTTTATTCAAGCAGAGAGATAAGCAAACACTGTCCTTATCAGAAAGGGGTCATATTGTGTTCTTGCACTGATAAGCACCGGTACATGTGTGATATTATGAGGGTGTTTATGTGAAAACTCACTGCCTGGATCTCCATTGCATCTCCTTGCCTGAGATGGCTCTGTCTCTGGGTTTGAAAAGGTTATCTACAAAACATATTTACAGCAGGAGAATAAAGGATAACAGTTAAATGGAAAGGTCGTTACAAAGCTTAATATTTCATTTTTTACATTTTATTCTTTAGTTTCAGTTTTTAAAGGCTGTCCTGGTTAGTCTGTGACCTTATTGGCCTACTTGGCCTTACAAATCAACAAACTAAGTGCTTGTTGAACAAATATTGCATTTGCACATATACAATAACTTGTGAATAAGACCATTTTTACAGAATCATAATGGCACCAATAGGTGGCATCAGTTAGCTGCAGGAGCAACAGGATGTGTCATGTACTTTTTAAGATTCATTGTTCATTCTCAACAGGGCCGCAGTGAAACATGCAGAGGTCTTTGAGATCTCTATTGTATCTGTTTGCTTTTAATAAGTCTGTCCCGCCTCAAGTTTGTTCTGATATAACCGAAGTTCTAATGCACCAAATGTTTCACTGCAGCACTGAATTGTCTGTGAAGGCATCAATAATGTGTCTTGCTGCAGAGCGCTTGCCCTAAAAATCGTAAGATGATGACCCTTATACTCACTGTTGGCACTTTTTACAGGCATCTGCCACATTGATGTACTGTTACCAATTCATTGTTCATTGCTACTATTGATACCTGATTTAATGGTTATAGCAGTAATACTGAGACAGCATTGCTGCAGCACTAGATCTGCATCACAGCTCCTTCAACTGTGCATAGGATGCTAATGAAAACGGAGTATCTTTACCACTAAGGGGGTGTGGTTTGGTGCAGTTCCGCCTACGGTTAGCCGTCTCCACGCCCATGATAAATTCAGCTGTTTGTAAGCTCCGCCTCTCCCTGGCCCTCAGTTCCAATCGTCGCACCCGATTCTGAGAGCGAGAGATGAAATCTGGACGAAACCGCTCAAGAGCATCCTACACACATTTGGATATGAACACAAGGTTTGTGCCACAGTGAAATGCTGGGGTGTATATTTATGATTTGCCACATTTGGGTGTTCAGGAAGGAAGTAAACTTGATTCACTGAGGCTTTGTTCACACAAAAATCCAGGCTTGTACAATATATTTGACACAGTTAAATAAAAAAAAAATTCCAATCTCAAAATGGATATCCAATTTATTGCACTGTACATTTTAATGCTGTGATGCCTAAATTCAGTTGTAGCTTTTAAACAATTGATTTTATTTTTAGTATTTTATGTAAAAAAAAATAGATACAAAAATAGTATAGAATTTTAATATCAGCCATAACATGAAGATAATTATCAGCTTATCAATATCAACATAACTAAATGACTAATTCAAACCATATGTGGGTGTATGTTTGTAATGGTTTGTACATATCTTTGCAGTTTACAAAAAAAAAGGATTAGAGTCAGATATGCCCCAATAAATCTGTTATTTTCTGCCTGTCTGAACAAACCCTAAGGAAAACCTGATGGTAGCCAGATTCCTTCAGTAAAACCATACCCTCAAGCTAAGCGACTGGTATCCTGTGTCCTGCTGGTCAGTCTTGGGCCCACAGATGCAATTAGTCAGATGAGGAGAGACCGGGCACTCAATAAGTCTCCTGACTTTCTCAGCAGTGTGGAAAACTGTTCTGACCTCAAGATGGGCCCTTATGCGCACCTGAGGGACTCCTGTACAGATAAATAATGATGTTAGCTCAGTGCCTTAGCATACAACCTGTCAAACACTTGCTATAACACATTTTACCTGGATAAGTACTGATACATTGCAATACACACAAGTACTGGTACATAAAAGTAGTGTTAGACATGCAGGTGAACAGTCCACTATAGGGTTTGTGAACTTTTTAGTATTTAAAAGCAATGAATATTAAATGGAAAGTAATGTGGCAGGACGTGATTTTTTTCCCCATTAGGATTTGATTAAATCCACCTAGCAATTACTTAGCAATAGGGGTGGGCGATTTACCGATGGACATGATTAACTGGTAGAAATTTGTCAACCGGTAGAGATTTTGGACTATCGTCTCTGTCACGGTTAAACGCTCACATTACAATACCCATAAAACGAACTATTGCTGGAACTACCTGCGATGGAAGGAATCTGCTGGAACATTGAAAATGATGGACTGGCCACCTCAAAGTCCGGACCTCAACTCCATTGAGCAAATTTGGGGCGAGTTGGAAAATAAACTGGACAGATCTATTGTATGTTCAAAGGAAAGCCTTTGGCTTCAGTTGCAGAAGGCATGGGATAACATTAGTGTTTTTTGTGATATTGACACTGACAAAAATTATGACATTTCTATGGTTTTAAAAATGATGATATCATAAAGACCCTATTTAAAGTAAAAATAACTATATTGTGATATATTGTTACTGTGAAATAAAATTACTCATATCATGATATAAGATTTTGGTCACATCACCCACCCCTACTTAGCAATATGCTAAAAACACTCCTTTGTAACCACACAATACCAAAAAAAATTAAAAATAAAAAAAATCTGTTGCATGTAAAGTAAAGGTGATGTCACATTTACCATAATTCTGCATATTTTGCAACAGGTTGGTGACACAGATTTGTCGCACTGGCCAACATAAAGCTGATTTCTGTGTGAGCTCAGCTGTTCTTCATATTTCTACCCTACTCACAATAGACAGTGGACCTTTTATGCCCACAAAATTCTGTTTCTACTAACATGCAGACTGTATTTACAAGATAACATTTTCATTATTAGATAATGAAACTTTTTATTGACAATAATTTACTGATAAATTATATCTAAAAAAAAAAAAAGTAATTTTGCAAGCTCTTGTCACTTGATCCTCTAAGGCAGAGTAAGATGTTGCATTTTCATGGCATTTCACACTGAGCACATTCAAGCTCTTGATTATCGCAGGGGAGTCCACCATTTTGTTCAAAATTGGCTCTGAAATAAAAGCTAAAAACCTATTCACTAAAGCATGTCAGGATCAGTGAGAAAGAGACAGGCTGATTTAAAAGACAGATGCAAAGGGTTGCAAAAGGACAGTGAAGGATTGACACATAAATAAACTAAGACTTGTGGATAAGTGCCCTTATGCGCCCTCCCTGCGGTGGTACCTGGTTCATCAGAGCCCAGTCATGCAGCCGTGCCGTCACACGCCTCACGGACCACATGCAAAAGATCAGTGTGCTGCAGGGAGGATGTTATCATTCAACTCATCACAAGGAAATGTGTTTAGCCGTACAGAGCCAGAATAGGGGCCAGAGAAACCAATAGACTTTAGATGCAAGGTAATGTGGAGTCAATGATGCATCATCTCACATAAGAAGATTGAAACTCACCCTATTTTCTTTTCAATAGCTCCCCCTCGCTTGCTTTCTCTTCCTTTATAAAAAAATCTGTGTCCTGACTGTGCATCTACTAAGGTAAATAATTGTAAAATACCAACATCAAATGCTGATAACGCTACAATCTGCTACTTTGCTTTACTTGAAAAGCATCTCATTATTCCAAGATCAAGACTCTCTCAGTTAAAATCCGAAATCCTGCCTCGCAGAAAACTTACAGATTTAACAGATTTCACTCCATCTCTGGATACCCAGCCATGCACTCTGTATCAAATGATGCCAGATTAAACCTATTCTGCCCATTTGCACCAGCGGGCCATTTTATCTGACATCTGATTGACCCACTTGAGCTGGCACACTCTAATCCCTTTCTAGGTGCATTCTTTTGTTTTCACAAAGCCATTTATAGTTTTTCTGACAGTGCATTACCATTCCCAAAGGAGCTTGAGGGAAGGCCGTCTCATTAATAATGCATGAGCCACCAATCAGAAGGTATGCAACCAGAGTAAGAGATGCTGAAATAAAACCGCGCTAGTTAAGACATCACACAGTGTGTCGGAAAAGAATGTCGCAGCAAAGCTACAGAATAAATGAGAGGAAGAGCAAGAGAGAGAGGATGGATACATTTGCATGGCTGCTGAGGAGCAGGGAGGTGATATAGGTACCTGATGGCTTGCTGAATGCCTGCCTGGCTCTTAGATTGCTCTGTGGAGGCCCTAAGACATCATTAGCCTTTCCATTCAGTCTGAAGGCAGCAGAAGATGAGTGGCACCTTGTTCTGAATGGCATTGATGTTAAAGTGGAACACTGCATGTCAGAGTTGGAGCCAGTATTACTTTTAAAGGCACTGCCATTGATGGTTGACCCATTCTTCAGGTGCTGGGACAGCCTTTCTGTTCCATCAACGCCAACGTTTGCCATGTCCCAGTCACTGTAGGATCTTTTAGTTTGAATCATGGTTTCGGGTTTCTCAGGGGTCTGAGTAAAAGATGGTTTTCCAAGGGAAAGGGACAGAGTGGATCTATACAAAGTCTGTCCAAGAGGGATTGAGAGGGATTTGTCCAAGTACAGAGTAGATCTGAACAGCTTGGATGGAAGGAGCTCCAGATGGGCACAAGAGCGGAAGATAGGACGTTTTAAAGAGTCTGTTTGATCTTCTTCCTCAGTGTAGCTGTGCTCATGGACTGGTGGAGCTTGAGGACTGCTGGGGGTCTCGCTGGCACAATGTCGTTCTCTGTTCTCGGTCACCATCACCACAACTGTCTTGTGTCTAGGAGGCACCGGAGTGCCAGCAATGGCTTGTAGGGTTTTATTTTCACTGCGGGCCATGAAAGAGGGCGGTCTGTCAGGCATGTTAAGAGGATGAAAGGTTGAGTTTGAATAAGCTGTACAATCCCTTTTAGGAGACAAACTCCGGGCGGTGATGGTGATCGAAGAGAAGCTTGACCGCAAAGTGGGTCTATTGTAGCAATGGAGAGCTTCAGGGACGCTACGTGTCCGGCCCAGGAATAAAAAAGGACTAGATGTGTGTTGTGATCTCCATGGTTCATCAAATGATGTAAATCCAGAGAAAAACGGGGGTGTTCGCCTTACTCTCACTGGGTCCTCCAATCTAGTCCTCAGACTCCTCCATGGTGTCATGGCATTTTTGTGCCAGCAATACTCATTATCCACTGCCTGTGAAGTATACAACCTTTAGTATGAAGCTTCAACTTTTACAAAATATTACAGGAATATTCTGGGTTAAATATATATTACATTTAGCAGGGTTGAGTTCTCATGACAATTCAAAGAACTTCCTGGGTGAATTTAAGATGGATTCATTCATACCAATATATGAATAAAATTTGCTCATATATTGGTTTGAATTTTCAAGCAACCTTCAAACATGACTAATATCTAGCTGATTAGATATTTAACAGCATGAAAAAGTAGGCTATATTCAGCATATAATGGCATATAATTTCACCCAGAGGCAAAAAGACAGACACAACATGTTAGACAGTCTCGTGGCCTAATGGTTAGAGTCAGACTCGTAACCCAAAGGTTGCGGGTTTGAGTATCGTACCGGCCGGGATTGTAGGTGGGGGGAGTGAATGTACAGCGCTCTCTCCCACCTTCAATACTACGACTGAGGTGCCCTTGAGCAAGGCACTGAACCCCCAACTGCTCCCTGAGCGCCGCAGCATAAATGGCTGCCCACTGCTCCGGGTGTGTGTTCACAGCTGTGTGTGTGCACTTTGGATGGGTTAAATGCAGAGCACAAATTCCAAATATGGGTCACCATACTTGGCCACATGTCATGTCACTTCACTTTTTTTTTTAGACGACTATGAAAAATCAAATCATTGTACAAACTGTGGGATAAAGTGAAATTATCTTCTATAGTAATCAAAAGCATTTCGCAAATGCTGTCAATGGAGTTTAACTTGCATTTAACCTGGAATATTAATTTAAATCGAAACAGTAACATCCTCACATGCAGTGTAATATCAGTTATTTCTTATTCAGGCTACAAACCAGCTCTAAAGGTGATATGAATGCATCTGTGATATTTGTGGTCTTTTTATTACCCCTCTATAAATATGAATTTCACCCAGAGGCAAAAAGACAGACACAACATGTTAGACAGTCTTGCTGTTTTATGATGAAATTTTGGGGCAGAAAAAATATCAGTAGCAGCAACTAATATTGCACCGATTTCTGTATTGTATATTTACAACAACTGATAAACATGATTAAACATTTGCATGTTTACTTTGGCAAATTACTGATAAAAAAGGAAAAACTGTAAGTATTCTGTCAGAAAAGCCTCAGGTGAAGGCATCGGAAATGCAGTGCGAAAACAAACTGTGAAGAAAATGGTTAACAAACACATAAAAACAGAAATCCTAAGAAAATAAACAATGTTTGAGACATTACTATTAATTTACACAGCTAGCCTCTTAATTTTATTTGCTGCTGATTTAGGGAAAGGTCAAACAGTGTGACTGAAACTGTTGCTGTCTTCAATTACAATAGCCAACCTCCACATTTATTACCAAAACTGAGGAGTGATCACACACACCACAAGACTTCTTTACCACGGAGTATACTTTCCTATTTTTAGTTTAAAAGAAGTATACTAATAGCACACTTGAATAAACTTCTTTTTTCGTAAGGGGAATGTTGACTTCCAGACTGAAATAATGAGTAATTATCAACAACATAGATACAGTGAACATTAAAATTTGTCAGCCAGTTTTCACTCAATGTTTTCACAAGTCAAGCTTGCCTGTGTGACTTTTGAAAACGTAAAATTAGGTTTCATTTCAAAAACGCTAAAGCCCAAACGTGCCCGATACCTTATCTATATTTATAATGCATATGTAATTTATACATAATGGATTTTATCTGTAATTCGCTGCTTGCGTCTCTCTTACCTCATTAATGTTGGGAGCCGACTGATAAGAGCACCTCCAGCCTCTGAGCCGCAAGTTTGAGCGCATGTTTCTTACATTTCAAGCTGTGGAAAACAATAATACGTCATTCATAGTTATTATATAAACGCAGTTCACAAGTTCGCCTAAAGTGCGCAAGACAGGTGCCATATTGTACAAGCGCAATAAACGACACGAGCACGCGCCGTTTGTCAGCCCAACCTACTCTCTTCTGCTCACCTTTACTTAAATTATTCATGAGTCGGCACTATTATCCAGTTACCACGCCACTCTGAGAGAGTTTTCAAGTATTTTAGCTTACCTGTTACTGGTATGCTCACAGCTTATTCTCGTTGTTACTTCATGAGTAGTTGTCTTTCCAAATAATTACCGAGTTCTGAAAAAGCTTTTTCATATTCACACTGTGGCATGCTGTTTATTCATGATGTGTATAAGCCCTCTTAACCCTCCAGTTGCCATATCAGCTTACATGATTTAAATATTTAACAGCAAAACAATGGACATTCTTGTTTGAGTCTCAAATGGTTGACAGCATAGGCTACACATTTGTCTCCACCAATAACTGCTGCTGAAAACAGCAGACATTAAAAATTAATTCAAAGTGTGGCTGTCACTTCCAGGCAGTGTTTGGCAAGTTACTCCAAAATTAATAATTGGGAATAACTTGTTATTTTAAACAGCCATAATTTACCTAATGGACAACAAGCATATATTTTTAGGAGGAAATGTAACAGCAAATCTGAATCCAATTTAATAAATACTACAGCAATAGAAGACAAATTACATCCCATGTGGATGTGATTATGTTCCCTTAAAAACAAGATAATTCTGTATTATACTGGAAGGATGGAAACCCTATGTGGTTATTGTGGACATTAAGGTCACCCACTTTAAACAAACACGTATGCAAACCAACAAAATTTCCCCATCTATCTTCTGAAGCAAAACTCATTATCTTACTCTCTTGCGCTTTAGCTCAACAACCGAAACACCCAGTGGATGAAAAAGGAAGAGAACAGTAAAACATTTCCTGTGAAAAAGATAATTATGCATTCATTGCCTTTGTTTTCTGTTGGTTCTGCTTTATCTGTGTTGAACCAGCGAGGGGAATTGTACTAACAGCTGATCTGTCTCTGAAGAGTAGCTGGGCAATATTGGATGTGTCTCTCCGCGTTGACTGATTGCTATCATCAGAGGGGGTTGAACAGTCACGGCTCTTGCCCTGACCTGAGGATTCATATGGAAAATAGTGAAAGGCTCAAGAGCGTGCATCTGTGAGGGAAATCGCTTGCTACGTGAGACTGCCAAGTCATTGCGGGCCATCTGCGATGAGTTGGTGTGTTGCAGATTTAGAAATGTAATAACAGTTTTCATACTTCTGTGTTGAATTTAGGATTTTATTCAGCAGTAGTGTTTTCTTCCATGTTATTTTAGCAATTTGTCTACTCGTTGCCATTTATCTTTGTCCCTAACATGTATTATATGTACAGAAGTGGCTCTCAACTGAGGGTATGTTACCGTAAAGTGGGTTGCAAAACTGTTCTGAGTCAGGACAGCAGGGAAAACAATGCTAAATGCAAATAATATATATAGGCCTCATCTTATATAATCCATATAATCCTATATTATGATAACAAAAAATGAAATGTAGGCGAAAACACTTCCCATAGCTTTTGTTGTTAATGTCAAAAGTGTCAAATCCAACATTTCTTTTTGTTGTCTGGTGAAAACTGACCGAATTAGGCATATGCTGAACACAGACAGGTTGACATCCTTAAAAATTATGGACAAAACTGCTCAAGTTACATGAACATACTAGACAGGTGGCAATAAATAAGGTCTCAAGGATGAACATGGATTGTGCTGAACACACTATGGCTACTGATAGTGTGAAATCATCCCAATTCAAAAGATATTTAGAAACGAAACACTCAAACTATAGAGACAGTGTAAAGTTATTAAATCTTAACATTATTATTAAGATTTCCTCCCATCGAGGCGTTCCCCATAGCGACCCCTAGAGGACGCAGTTCGAAGTTCCCATGAAAGGGAATTGTTATTACCTATGTAACAGTTTTTATAACAAAATTTGGTTACACTTTATTTTAAGGTATCCTTGTTACAGTGTAATTATACATTTAAGTACTGAGTAATATTAATTGACTACATGTACTTGCTATATGGTTAGGGTTAGGATTAGGGTTTGGTTTAGGGTTGCTTGCATGTAATGAAATAACTGTTATTATGATAGTAAGTACATGTAACATGTAACAAGGACACCTTAAAATAAAGTTTTACCAAAAATCTGGTATATTGGGTCACTACCAGTGTAAAATCTGCCTCTTAAAGTAAAACCAGTTGAGAACTTATAGTAACTCCTTTCAAAACAATTGATGGAAAAAGAATCAGATTTACATAATAGAAATCATGTTTCATTTCTCTCATCCAAATTATTTTGGACCAGCAAAGCTGCTTTGGGCTTTACATTGGATTAAAGCATAAACCAACATGGTGTTGATATCAAGCATGTCTCTGGCTTCTCCCCAGTGCTGTTGAGTCGAGAACAGTATGTGGTCTGTGCAGTGCTGTTGTTGCTCCAGAGCTCATTGTGATGGGTGAACACACTGATTCACATGCAGAGGGAATGGGATGATGCCATGGGGGCATTGCAGCTGGGTAGGGAAACATCTCTAAGCACCATCGCACACAAATAAACACATCAGCAGCCAGCTATAACAGCAGGGGAGGTACAAAGAGGGGGCTCTGGTGGTGAGACTCCCTGATAGGCTGTCGCTTTGTATCAAAGCATTTCTCTGCTTTGACTCCAAGGTGTTTTATTACGATGATAATTCAGCCACTTGATTAATGCCTGCTATAGTATGTAAGGACAGTCTGCTGAAAGCTAGTCTCAACTTGTAAATCTACTAGACTTTGATGGGACAACAGATCCTTAAATATAGGTATTCAGGCAAAAATTATTTCATTTTGCAAAAGCATATGCTGTGTCTCGTTCCAATCCCTATCCCTATTATGTGAATCAGTGTATTGTGAACACAAGTCTGGCCACTATAAAGGACCTTGATCCAAAATCTATGATTTTTAGAAAAAAAAGTAAGCATGAAGGTGAACCCTAACCTCACCTCTAAAAATAACCTAACATGGGGGTTAAGCAGATTGTATGAAAATGATACAAATTCAGCCACCAGTTTAGCAAAAATGTATTGCCAAGAGTCTGTGTTGGAAGCACAGCTCACACAGAAGTCACTTTCAAACCAAGCAGCTTATGGTCAACGCAGCAAATCTGCATGGCCAGCTTGAGCCTCTTGCAAAATCTGCATGGGGAAATATTTTGTCCTTAAACATCATGTGGACTACTATTTAAATGACTGCACATTTAGAGTAATTTGTTTGGAAATCAGATTAAACAGATTGCACTATTTGTTACTGAGTTCGGGAATCAGGCTACACTGAAAAAAAAATGCATAGAAACAATTTCCACTCAGAAATGCTATACTTAATTTCACAGACAATTACAAACAAGACAGCACATTGAATCAAACATGAAATTTTGAAGTAGAAAGACTGAAATAGTATTTTCTCATAAAATGTCTCCAAAATTTAATTTACAACTTTTTTTACAGTGTACGCTGCAGATTCAGTAGCATTGTTGCAGCACCATTAAACCACTTGCTCATAGTGATTTATTGTGATGTTTCGTCCTCATCGCTGTAAGAATGTACACACGAGAACCGCTAATGGAACCATACGTTACAGGTTGTGAAAAAGATTGAGGAAAGGGATTGAGACTCATCCAGTCATATATAAATCTGTGACTCAGAAGAAATGAGGCAAAATATGCTGAGGCTGGAAATATACTTCCAGATATTCTCAGCTCTCAGTTTATTTCAATAAGCTATAACTAGTCAGAATAGTGCTGTCAAAGGCTGATTCTAAGTCGCTTGATCAGTTAATCTGCTGGAGGCAGATCAACACATTTTGAAGTTTCCATTCTGAGGCTCAAAACAGTATTTGACTTCCACTGATCCTTCAGTTCAAGCCATATATTTCTTGTACTTTTCTTTGTGATTCCTAAACATGTCCATCTGCAAGACGGAGAGCTTTTAAACCAGAGCTTAATGCTTTGATTCAATACAAAGCAAATCTCTTCTTTCATCAAGATTTGTAAATGCTTAATCCTCAGATCATGTTCTGTGTACAATTTCTAAATTCTTATTGTTTTTATCTTTTAATTAGTTTTTGAGTTCCTGTAGTGTAACTGCTAGAGCAATGCCAAGATCACTACTGTTCTATACTGTTCAAGATTTTACCACTAAATCATCGACCAATTAATTAACAGGCCCTTATGTCACCATAGATCATCATCCTCATCTCCCCATTCCACCATATGCTTATGGGATCAGTGTAATTAATACATTTACAAGGACTAATGGCCACATGTCATATTTGTGTAGACTGACACAGACAGTGACAGTGGTAATAGTCATGGGGTGAATTTTCCCTGAGGCTGTTCAACAGGTGTACCGCAAAACAGAGCATATTCATGGGAGGAACATTCCACCAGCCGGAAAAAAATGCTTTATGCCCACGGTCTTATTATCCCTTGACAGAAGGGGGCGTGATGTTTATGTAATGCTTCTAGGAAAGTTGTGAATAATGGATTTAGAGCCACTTTATATGTATGTCTAAAGTCAGCTCAAACAGTGGTTCGTTTTTTAACTGTAACAGTTCTTAGAAACACTGTGTTTTAAGTAGGGAGAAAATACAAATGTTTATATAATGTTTTAATAGGGAAATAATAATCTTGTTTTGCTGATACTGTAGTAAACAGGGGCTGTATAAGGGAGGCTTTTTATATTATACATTTATTAAATGTAATTTATGTTTGTTTCATTATTTCAGTAAATAAACCTACACTGTATTTATATATTATGTATTATATTATGACAGTATGTGTCAGAAACATTACTAATATCAATGATTCTCATTGGATTTTAGCACCCCAACAAAAAGCCAAAGCTGCTTATCATACAAAAGTATAATCAAGATGTGCTTAAACCCCAACAATGAAATTAATCTTAATCACCATGAACTGCACAGGCAAACATTTTTAAGCCTTTTGCACTAGACACACAGA